CGAGGACCGGGACCTGTTCCCCCGCAGCAGCGGTGCTGGGGTCCCGCAGCCCCGCGCTGCCGCTCTCCTTGTCCAGCGGGAGCGGACATGCTGCATGCCCGCAGCCGGCTGGGGCTGCTGCTCCTCGGGGCGCTCCTCACTTTGCTCCTGTACCTCATGCTCCCGGCCGCCCGGCGCTCACGGCCTGAAGAGGGGAAGCGGGCTTGGCGGGCGGCCAACGGCACCGTGCGGACGGGGATGGCTGCGGGAGAGCCCCCCGTGTTCTACAGGGAGGTTCCCGCAGCAGCTGTCGGCCCCGGGAGGTGGGTCAGCCCGCCGGCAGCTGGGGATGCCAGGCCCTGGGCTCACCAGCCCCCGTGGTCGCCGGGCGCTGCAGGCATGGCAGCCTTCCTGAGCCCCTTCCCGTCTGTCTTCCCCCTCGCAGGCCCGATGTCCTGCTCCTGCACGGCCAGGCGTTCACCTCCAAGACGTGGGAGGCCTTGGGCACGCTGGCGCTGCTGGCTGGAGAAGGCTACCGTGCGGTCGCAATAGATCTGCCTGGTAGGACCATGGCACTGTGCTTAGCTGATCCCTTTGGGCAGCTCCTGTCCCTTGCCTTAGTCACTGCTGGGTTCTGGATCTCTTTAGGGAGGGCTCTGGATAGTTTCTGGTGATCCCTGGCGCAATGTGCCTGGGATTTGTCTGTGTCCTGTGGCTTTGATGACTGTGACTGTACAAGCCTGGAGCTTTGTCAAGCGTCCATTTTTTGCCAAGCCTTTGAATCCTGGTGAGGAGAGACCATTGCAGGCTGCACAATGCCCCCTGACCACCCTATGTCCTCTTCTCCATACCAGGCTACGGGGATTCGCCCCCACTGGAGACGGCAGTGACAGCACAGGGCCGGAGGACTTTCCTGGACCATGTTTTCCATGAGCTGGGCATGCAGAGGCCTGTTCTCGTCAGCCCCTCCATGAGCGGCCGCTTTTCCCTGCCCTTCCTCCTGGCGCACGGGGACCGGCTGGCCGGCTTTGTGCCCATCGCGCCCGTGGGCACCAAGGACTACACTGCTGAGCAGTACCAGAGAGTCCAGGTGCGTTTTTGGGCTCTTGGGGGCTATTCTAGGTATTGGCAAGCCGTGTGGGCCAGCTGGCTGCAGGGTGATGTGGAGGGTGGCACTATTTTGGGGTGAGTGAGGGGGACCTGTGACCCGCAGCTCAGGGGGGTGCTGGCACCTGCCTCCCCTCAGCTTTGCAGCTGTGGTGATGGAAGGAGCTGGGCACAGCCCAGGGGGAGTGGTGGCCATTTACCCCTCTGACAGCTGCTCTTGTTTTCTCTCTCCCCTTACCAAGACGCCCACCCTGATCCTGTATGGTGACCGTGACACCCGCCTGGCTCCCCAGGCCCTGCAGAACCTCCAGCACCTCCCTGAGCACCGTGTGGCCGTGCTGCCTGGTGCTGGCCATGCCTGCTACCTGGACAAGCCAGAGGACTTCCACCAGGCTCTTCTGGGCTTCCTGCGCCAGCTGAAGTGAGCGGTGCCTCCTCCCTGCCAAGCAGAGGGACTGGGGCGTCCGAGAGACTGGGAGGCACAGGCGACTGGCATGAGGAGTGCTGCTCCCTCCTGGGATATCCCCAGGGTGGCGGGGAGGGGACTGGACTGTCCCTTGCTGGCAGGACAGGGTGTCGTCTGTCACGAGGCCAATAAACTGATGCTGCTCTGGTTTCTGCGTGTGTCCCCAAGCGCCGTGGGGCCCCTCGAGCTCCAGCCCCATCTCTCTGCCGCTAGTGTGGGGCCAGGAGGGTGCACGGTGCCCCTTGCGTGCACCCTGCCCCTCCTGCGTCCCCCGCT